GCCGTCCCGGATAGATCTCCAGACAGCGCAGCAATAGCAGACACTGGGTAGCATGTGCCAAGCCCTAAGTCTCTAGCTGCCTCTTTGCCAGAGTCGGCACACACTTTGCCTTCTTTGAGACTGTTTCCTCACTGAGGTCCTATAGCTCAGTTCCATTCCCTCCATTCCCCAAACAGCCTGACCAATAGAGGGCCATTATGGCAGGGTTTTCCAGACTTTCTTCTTCCCTCTCCCTCCCCCCCAGCCAGACTCCCCACAGATGGCATCAGCTCTTGCAATAGTTCAGAAGATGCTGGTTGCTCACCAGCCTGGGTCTATTTCCCGCAGGAAACTGCATGGCGCTCCCAAACCACAAGGGGGCGAGTTAGGGCATGGAGAACATCTGTTCACCTTTCAAGCTTGTTCAGTCAAATCCTGGCACTTCCCCCACTATTCACCGGCTTGTCACTTTACGTTCCATCTACAATGGCAGGCCAACCTTCCTTTCACCCCAAACCTGTAGCCAGAACTTAAAACTCTAATCCCTTCCAGGTCCCTTGTTAGCCTTGTGTGCTGAGCTGTTGCTGCTGACAGACATGTTAAGTTTAACTTTAGGCTTTGACACACTGTCCATAAACCAAATATGCAAATAATTAATTATGAGCAGATATACAGTTCATGCCCTACATGTTCAGAGTGTCTAGTAAGTGAACAGTTGGTCCTCCACTCTCTCCTGGGCAGAAGAGTTTTCACAAGGCATGTAAAAGTGGGTTTTAAAGGTTGAATAGGAGTTCACATGACAAAGTACTGAGGGAGAATTTCTAGACAGACAGGGTGTCCAGCATGCATATGTGTGTGGAGGTACAGAAAAGCCAAGGCAATTGAAATCCTGCTGCAGGTGATGGAAAGGAAGTCAGAGGGAGACAGGCTGAGAATGTAAGTTGGAGCAACTGTAGAAGGGGTGTTGGAAGTAAAGCAAAGTTTACTTTGTTATCCTGATGGCAGTAGTGGAGGGAAGCATGGGAGAGGGGCATCAGTGCCCAGATGTTCGTATTCCGTCAGGAAGAGACCCCTCACCAAGCCTCCAGTGACCTTTCCAAGCAGTGTTTTCGGGATCATATAAAAAGTACTCAAGTGGGAAAATGATCACCCAACCTTCCTTGTATTAGGCCATCCTTCCCCTTTTGAAAATTAAAACATCCAAATTTTTTGTTCATGCAAGATCTGTTAACCAATATTTTACTTAATTGGAAATTAAAATTGAGATATCTTAAAAAAAATTAATCCACTTAAACCCATCACAGGGCAATTTTTTAAACATTTACCAAAAATGTTAAATTTTGTGAGTGTATATTTGATTTTTACAAATCTCCTGGTTACAGCTGGATTCCCACATCTGCTCTATCAATCTGTTGTGGTATCGCATCGTGTCATGTGTGGGCAATTCACTATACACCTACGAGAGTGTGGGAATGAAAGCAGCAAGCAGAGTTACTATGAAAATAATTCTGACCTCACAAAGGCCCGTAAAAGAGATGGTCAGACCACATTTTAAGATAGGCAGGTCTAGTGACAGCCAGGCAAATTTAGGAGCAAAAGCTGTTGACAGTGAGGGATGACACGCCACCTGAGCACACAGGCTCGGCTCAGTGCATGCGAAGAGGGAAGGCAGGAAGGCAGCCCACGGGGTGACTGAGCCAGTGGAAAAGGTCGAGTTTTCTTGAACACAGGCAGACCCACCAGCCCAGGTGTAAATGACAGGAAGGCTGTTTAAGTAAAATGCTTAGCACAGTGGGACCTGGCCTGGCAAACTTCAGCTCCCTTCTCTTGGGCAGGAATAGAGCATTAGGAAAAGAGCTAGTTTAGCAGCTACTCAAGGTACATCTGGGGAAGGTGGTAACAAGGATCAGAGGTGAGCCCCAATGTGCAGACATCTTGAAAATGCTGGTACATTAGCAGAGTTGCTTGACTCAAGGCCATGTTTGACAGGGCTGCCAAAGCAGCAAGCTCCAATTTAGGTGACTCAGAATAGGGAGGGGAAGAGACATACGTGCCTTTGATAGTTTGCAAAAGGGGGGGTGGGGGGAGGGGATGACATCTAAATGGAATTCTTCCCTTCCTGCAATTTTTCTGTAAATTTACAATTGTGTAAGTTTGAAAACATGGTATAGGAATTATCATGTACAATTAAAGATGTGAAAGTAGTTCATAACTAAAATATCAGTATAAATATTTAACTTTCCTTCAGGTAATTTCCTTAGAATATAGACAAAAAAGTCAAAACAATGTCATACAAGCAGCAGGCCTAATTGATGCTAAAATTTGAAAACAAATTTAAAGAATCCTCTAGAAATACTAAAAAGTTGCAGGAAAAAAAAATTACTCCAAGTTTGGCTTCAGAAACCTAGTGCCAAGCTGTTCCAAGGCATTGCCTCACCGTGTTCTCACTTAACTGTTAATCAAATTTGAGATGATTTATCAAGTTCTTCTAATCTGCTATTGCAGGCAAATAAAACCTAGATTGGTTTTTTATGACTTACAAACAGACACTTTTAAAAGCAATGTTGGACTTTGCTACAGAGTGGGAAGCTGCAATAACCCAATCTAGGCTCCTTACCAAAGTTCCCATGAGCCTTCTTCGGGTGGCAGTCAGTAGCCAGGCATTGCTGTGGCTGGTCACCTTAGGAAGCCCAGGAGTGACAAAGCTGCCAACATCGTCACAAAGCGAAGCATTATGGAGAAAAGACAGGGCTGCTTGTGGCCAGGGTTGAGGACAGTCCCTCTAAACATCTGTAACTCATTCTGAAACAGGTGGGAGGATGCTGACGAGAAAGGCCTAGGTCAAGAATGGAAATTAAGTCTGAGACAGGAGGCAGGAATCTGGGATGACTTTCCCAAATGTTGCTTCCGGAAGAAAGATCAGGTTGTTAAAAGGACCCACTACTACTAAAACAGTATGTCATGATTTCCAGCACACCAGAATCAATATCCCACCTCGGAACCACAGCACCACGTGCATGTAGCTCGTCACCACAGTCGTCCCTTTGGGTCTCCCATTCTGTCCAATGTGAGAAGCCTACATAAAGGACCACCTTTTACAACCATTGGTCACCACCACTGCCCCTCCAGCTTCCCAAATGCCAGTGTCCAGTTTGCTGATACTTCTTGGCTCCTTGCCTGTTACTTGTCTCTCCCTCTCACCTTCCATCCTCAAACCCACCACTGTTCTGAAAACCAGCCAGCTACCCAAACAAGTCCAACTGCTATAAAATCTTCTCTCCAGGGTCCAGCTGCTCTTTTCTTCAGTGTGGCTAAGATGCTTCCTCCAACTTCTGCAACTTTGGCCCCACGGCACAAGGATTCTCAGATGCACCCATCTTTTGTGTTCTGGTTCATTTTGATAGTCCTTAGGGCTAAATTTCATTCTTATTGTAAGACAAGAACAAGTGTAGCAGCAGCAAATAATGTCAGTGGTAGCTGATACAATGTGCATGCAGGGCTGGCACATCAGGCACACACTGCTCCTTTGACAGCAGATGTGGAGGTGACACTACACCTGTGGAAAGGGCCTGTAAAGGTCAGATGCAAAACAGACTTTAGCTAAGAGGTGAAGAAGCCAAGAATGTCAAAGACAATAAAAAAGGCTATCATTTTACACAGTGTGCCAGTTCATTTATAACAGGCAAATCTTTTCTGTCAAGAGCCCAGTAACAATTGTTTGGCTTCGTAAGGTACCTTCTCTGCTGGAACTACTCAATACTAAATTGCTGTAGCACCACAGTGGCTATGCCCAACATGTTGGCAAATGAGAACAGTTGTGTTTCAACAGTTACGGACACTGAAATAGGGGTCATAATTTTCACATCATAAAACAAGTATTTTTCTAACCACTTAAAACGTTAAGCCCATTCTCAGCTCACGTGCCACACAAGAGGCGGTGAGCCCAATCTGGTACATGGCTGGTTTAACAGTTCCTGAGAACAAAATGGACATGGGAGAACATGAAAGGACTTGCTGTATCCAAGATTCACGGCTCGCCAAACAGGGTGGTCAGGAGGCATCCACTTTCTAGTTATTTTAGCCGAATATTTGTAGCAGCCTGAAGCTTCTTGCTGCTCTAAGAAGCATGATACCCAACCAAAATCTCATGCCTCATGAACCTTGACTTGTATTCCATCAAGTATCCCATCTCTGTGGTAATTGTGTTGAGAAAAACAGGAGACCCAATAAAACCAATTTAGAGTCTTGTCTTCTATATGCTACAATCACCTATTACTTAATGAAAAAGAACAGTGATAAGGGTACTGTCAACTTTTAATCTAATATTCTATGTGGTAAATCATTTTTAAAAAATGAGAAATGCAATGCTGATATATTGAAAATATTTTATAATCAATTCTCTAAAATCCTAGCCATCTAGTACAGAAAAAAAATGTATATGATGGAACACTTAAGTATTTTTAAACAATGTAAAGACATTTGGCTAGAAGATGGCAGTAGGAATTTAACAAATATAAACTTAAGCTTCCTCACATTTTCCATAGATCAACTAAACAATAAAAATATTCCAAGGAGTAGATGACAGAATATCTCAGATGCAAAATCCCAAAGTCAAACAGCCACTGTATTACATCAAGAGATTTACCAAAACTGTTTTCGTAAATTAAAACAGCAAAAGGTCAAAAAAGCCTATTTTTTTTTTCATAGTGTCTTGGCTGATTCTTTAAGTAAATAATCAAGGTACTATAAATAATGGTCAAAACTTGGCCTGAACTGTCTTCTGGTAATTATTAATCCCACTATTTGCAGTTTTGTTGTCCAAGGACAAAGCTCCACGTCACAAACTTCTGCTGTCACTTTCCAGAGAAAAAGCTGCTGCTGGTTTGGGCTTTTCCTTCTTTTTCCAGTTTTCGCTATGCTCTTAACAATTAGGTAGCAGATAGACTGTCAGAAAATAATAGTGTTCCATTATCCCACCAAAAATGCCACCCTCTTCCCAACTCTGCCTTGAAAGATGAACATATTTATGAATCCTTATTTTATTCTCCTGAGACATTTTGCATATCCATTATAAAGCATACAGGTAATACAAAGTCCAAAGGCCTGACATGTTTATGGAATAAATACATGAAGATTAAAACTATGTAACAGTAAAGAGAAGCCATGGTTTCATTTATTTTCATAGGAGACAGGTCATGAATGCAAGACGTAAAAACATAAGAGTTGTCATCTGCTAAGGATTACTGCAAGAGATGTGCAGCGAGAAATCTGTGCAAATTCATCTTCTTAGTATCAGATGGTAGGAAAAAAAGCCAATAGTATTTTCTTTAAAGAGTCTTTGCTTATATTCAGGGGAAAAATGATTTGAAAACTGAACAAATATACATCTGCCCCATTTATGATTAAGTAACAAATGCCAATGAAGGAGATTAAAAAAAAACTGATTAAAAAAACCCAAATAAAAGCCAACACTGCTATTAAGATTTCTTTTTAATATGCCATGAGATATCTTGATTGTATATTTTCCAAAGTACTTTTCCAGCTCCAACCCTTCCAAAAGATTTCACCAGTCTTCCTGACACAATAAAAGATTCTGGATTATAGTTCTGTCCACCATCTTTTTGAAAATCTTATATCCTGACGACTTTAATGGTCATACATTCGTATAAGGAAAAACATTTACAAATATCAGAAACCCAGTTTGAAACATTTGCATTATTTTTAAACTGAATCAGCATTTTGTGGGTTTTTAAAAAAGGCAGCAGTTTGAACTCACGACTTGCTGACAAACACATGTCTGCTGAGGGAAGGGGAAGAGAGTGAATGATGCAATTCTCCATTGGCCCCAAAGTGCTAATTTCACAAAGGGATACATCAAAAGCAACATGCAATGGTGGTTTTAAAACTTTTACTGCAATATAACAATGAAGTAAACAGTAATTAGACACCTATCAATTTTCTCCCAAAACAACCCTACCCCCCCAAAAAAAAATGTAAACAGGAAAATAACTCTGCCTATTGCTTGTACAGCTTTTCAAATCAAGTTAGAAAGGTATCACATTCAATGACCAGGAAATTTTAAAATAGCAGTAATTATTTTCATTTTAAGTAAAGGTTCCCCTTCTCCCTCCCCCACCCCAGTATTTAACATGAAAGAATGGGCTTTCTTACATATTAGATTTATACTTATTTGAAGCAGTAACAAAAACCATCAATAATTTGGTATTTCTGTATATACTTGCTTCAATTTTTCCCCCCAATTTCACAAACCATTATCCAGTGTTGCCACGAAATAGAGACTGTAGAATCCTAGGTAGCAAAGATCCTTTCTGAAACCAATGTTAAGTCAAAGAAATATAAAGCAGGGCATTACACTAAATTTCTGGATCTAGTACACTAAAGAGTGAAACCTAGGAAAAGTTACCTACTGTTTTAGAGAAGAAATAAAGACCTGCAAAAGCTGATTTTTGGTTGTATATTATTTTACACACTGTGTGGATTTGCGTCATCTGCTAATTGAAGCAGACATGCACTGCTTTTATCCCTGCCCTATATCCTAGTTCCCTCCCTCCCCACCCCCAACAATCTACTACCTTATACCAAGTATTGTGGATATGAACCCAAGTCATCCCAGACAATCCAGTGAACAAAGTTAGTGTAATGCACTGGTGTGAAGTGTGAGATTTAAAAAAAGTTCCTTTCAATCTTCATCAAAATTTTGCTGTAGAAGAAAATTGGCAGCCAAGTTCTCATTCTTCTCACAAGCAAAATATGCTTGTATCACAAGTCCTTCAGGAAATCCTAATGCCTTTAACTGGAAAAGAAAAGAAAATGTATTATGGATTCTAGCACAGCACTGATGAGAGATCATTATTTGAAAATACATTTGTACACAAGACAGGAAAAAGCTAAACCTGTGGATCAAGGAAAAAATTACTGTTCAATCCAAGAAGCCAGAGGGATGTGGGCTAGTTTCCTTTACAACTACCTACAAAAATCTTTGTTCCAGATAAAGCTAGTAGCTAACAAATACTGTGCTAACACTCTCTGGCATCAACACTAAAAACTGGCTCCTTACTTGGTTTAAAAATAGAAATTTGTATATCAAATGGCAGTATGTGAGGGATAAAGATCTGGATGAGAACAACTGGAAAAGAGTTTAACCACCTAATCTAAGTCACCACCTTTCCCTAGTCAAATATCACTCTTCATGTTCACAACAGAAAAAGTTAGATTATTATTGTATGTTTTGAGTTTAAGATATATGGTACCCCATTTTTACCTGCTTAATTTTTTACATTTTAAATGGTGATACTAGTCACATAATTTTGTTTGCTTAGTATATTAAAAAATCTCCTGTCACTCAATAAAAGCTGCTTTTATACTCAGTCAATTATCTAATTCATGTTTACCAACCTAAGTTACTTATGAACCCCTATTCAGTTGCTTCAGTTACATGAATTAGACTGTATCAAGAATAACCTTTAAAAATTGGGCAATGCCCCAATTCAGTTACCAGAGAAATAACTCAAAAATTATTACCTAGGTCTTGTCCAGATTAAAGTTGAAGTAAAAGAAACAGCCCAACTATATGCTTCTATAATACATATACTTTATATTCAAAGACAAATATGCTGAAGGTAAAAGGAAAAGATTCATGGATTCATGGCATGCAACAGTCACAAAAAGAGCTGGAGTGACTGCATAAAATTTCAGACAAAATAGATTTTAAGAGAAAATTTGTTACTGAAAACATTTAATGATAAAACATCAGTAAGACTTTACTATAAACATATATAACAACAGAGTTCCAAAATACACAAGGGAAAAAATGTGACAGAATTGAAGGGAGAAAGAGATTAAGTCAACAATAGAAGTTTGAGATGTTGATATTTATTTTTTGTAATTTTTAATAATGGATACAACTAAACAAAGATCAATGAAGAGGTAAAAGTGTTGAACTGTAAATGAACTAGTACTGACAGATATTTATAGGACAGTTAACAGAAGTAGATTACAGATCCTTCTCAATTACACATGGAATATTCTCCAGAGAGAATGTGTTAGGTTATAAAACAAAGTTCAATGCATTGTAAAGAATTAAAATCAAAAAAAATATTTTCTCGACCCCAATGGAATGAACTTAGAAATCAGCAACAGAGGGAAGCTTGAGAGATTCACAAAAATGTCTAGATAACCCAATACTTAAATAACAATTGGGTCAAAGAAATCACAAAAAAAACAAAAATACCGGAAGATGAAAAAAAACCCACAAAACTTATGAGGTACTGCGTACAGCAGTGCAGAGAAGCACTGCAGGGGACAGGGATTCGCTTGTCTTTTACTGCCACATGACTAGAAAGCTAGTTTGGAGTCACAGGAATTAGACTTTTGGTTTTGGTGCTTTCTGGATTTCAGACTTGAAAATAAAGGACTGTAAACTTAAAAAAAAAAAAAGGCAATTTTGTAGTCATAAATGTCTACAAACCACTAATCTTTAAAATCAATAATCTAAGCTTAGACCTTAAGAAGCTAGAAATAATGAAGCAGAAACTAAATACAAATCAAGAAGAAAGAAAACAAGAAAGGTAAGAGAAAAAAAAATAAAACTAGAAAACAAATAGAGATTTGATAAAATCAAATGTTTCTTCTGCACATCAACAATACTTATAAGCTAAATTGGAAGGGAACTAAAGAAACTGAGAATTTAAGTGTGGTAACATTTAATACTCACTATAGAGAGCGAAGATGAAATGAACAAATTTGGGAAGATGAAATGAACAAATTTTTAGAAAAACAAAACCACTGCAAATGATTCAAGGAGAAACAGAAAATCTGAATAATCCTAAACAAGTAGAGGTTGGATTGGCAGTCACAAAACTAGTCCCAGAAATAGCTGGTAAATTTTGCCAACCATTAGTAAATATTGTAAATTCTTCCAAATTGTAGAAAAGAGAATACTCCCCTTACCCCAGATTTTATTTATTTATGTATACAAGAACTGGAATGTAGGTCAGAGATGTGGGGGGGGAGTAAGTATTCATCAGTGACAGAGTGGGAAACAGAACAGACAGATCTACTGAAATACACTGCTGAGGGGAGCAATGGGTGAGACAGGATAGTTCTGTTGTACCATGTGGGTCAGCTCCTTGGCTGGAGATCAAAGTGGATGGCAACAGTTTGGTTTGTGTCTCCAACCCCTGCACCACCAGGAAGGCCACAAGGGAATACTTAATTCATCTATAAGGCTATTCTATTCTGTATTACTCTGATACTGAAGGCAAAGACATCACAAAAAAACTAAAGACTGGCCCTCCCTGGTGGCACAGCAGGTTAAAGCACTGCACTAAGAGGCTTAAGCCACTTCCGCATGAGTTCGATCCCTGCCTGCCCTGGAGGAGATCCACATGGCGCGGCAGACCTGTCCTGACCCGCCCGCTACTCCCCTCAGCAGTGTACTTGTCGATCTGCCTGTTCTGCTCCCCACTCTGTCCCTGGTGAATCCTCTCACCCTCCTGTACCCCAGCTCTGCATAAATAAATAAATAAATAAATAGATAGATAAATAAATAAATAAATAAATAAATCTTTAAAACAAAACAAAACAAACCTAAAGGCCAATATTCCTTATGATTTCTTATACAGAAATCTTCAGCAAAATAATCTTTAACGAAATCCATTAACATATGAAAAGGATTAATATGCTATGACTGAGTGTATTTATTTTAGATATTCAAAGTTGATCCAAATGTAGAAATTAATCCCATAAAGCTTATTAACAGAAAATCAGACAAAATTATGTGGTAATCTCCATAAACACACATAAAAGCATTTGACACAATTCAACCCCCCTTTGTGATAAAAGCACTTAATGAACTTGGACTAGAAGAGACACGTCTAGTTCTTCCTTACCCCACAAAAGGAAACCTAAGACAATCCACAGCTAACACTACACTTCAGTGAAAGATTTGCTTTCCGTTGAGATCAGGAACATGGCAGATGTTGGCTCCTTTCACTTCTATTAAAATACAGGAGGCTAGGGCCCTGGCCCTCCCTGGTGGCATAGTGTGTTAAAGTACGGCACTAAGAAGCTAAAGCCACTTTAGCAGGAGTTCGATTTCCTCCCTGGAGGTGGTCCACATGGCGCAGCAGACCTCTCCTAATCTGCCCGCTGTTCCCCTCAGCAGTGTACTTCATCAGTCGACCTGTTCTGCTCCCCAGTCTCTGGTGAATCCTCTCACTGCCCCTGCATCTCTGTCCTGTACCCCAAAATTCTGTATGCATTAATAAAACTTAAAAAATACAGGAGGTTGTAGATGGGTCAATTAAGCAAGAATAAAAAATACAGGACATCAGTATTGGAAAAGAAGTAAATCTACGTCTATACTTGCAAATGATACCCTGCATATAGAAAATCTAAAGAAAACCGACACATACATTATTAGAACTGAGTTTAGGAAGACTGTAAGGTATTAAGATCAATTCATATGCTTAAGACGTTTTTCTATGTATTAATAATCCAAAAATAAAATTAAGGAAACAATTCTATTTATAATAGCATCAAAATTAATAGATACTTGGGAATAAAGTTAACAAACAGAAACTTTCAGCGCATTTCTGAAAGAATTCACAAATAATCTAATACATGAAAAGATATCCATATCCCATGTTTATGACTTGGTAAGACAATACTGTTAATACAAAATAGTCTCCACATTAATCTATAGAAAAAAGCCAATATATATCAAAATCCCAGGTCAGTGTTCTTAAAGAAATCAGACAGGTTAACACTCAAATTGATATGATACACAAGGGAAGCAGAGAGCCAAAGTAATCTTTAGAAAAAATAAAAATGGAGCACTCATTCTCCAATTTCAAAATTTACTATGAAGTCACAGTGATCAAGATAATGAGGTATTAGCATAAAGATAAACATAGAGCAATGGAACAGAAATGGAAGTCCCTCACATTTATGGTCAAATGATTTTCAACCAAATGCCAAGGCAATGGATTAAAGTGCAGCACTATATACTGATCCGCATCTACTGCAGCAGAAGTTCCATCCCTAGACAGGGAGGTGATCCACATAGGACAGCAGATCTCTCCTGACCTGCCCACTGCTCCCCTCAGCAATGTATTTCAGTCAATTTGCCTCTTCTACTCCACACTCTGTCTCTGGTGAATCCTCTCACTCCCTACATCTCTGGCCTGTACCCGAGTTCTTGTATGCATAAATAAATAAATCCTTTAAAAAAAAAAAAAAAAGCCAAGGCAATTTAATGAGGAATTCTTTTCAATAAATGATGTTAAGGCAACAGTTATCTTCAAAAGAAGATGGGACTTCAAATGACTTACACCATAAATAAAATGTAACTAAAATAGATCACGAGCCTAAATATACAAGTTATAAGTTATTAGGAGAAAAAACAGGCATTAACCTTTTAAACCTGATTTAGATATTGTTTCTATTATGACACCAACAGGAAAAATTTTTCTAAGTCAAAAATCAAAAGTTGATAGCTAGACCCTAAAAGAAAAATAGCTATTATAGAATAACTGTGGTATCATTTATTTCCTTTATAAATGGGGGCGGGAAGGAGATATGAGCATGATATATAAAATCTTTTAGAAATACAAAATTAAAAACCTTAAACACTTAATATGTGTATGTCATAAATAAGGCCAAATTATGATACCAATGACAGTTTCTAAGTATGTTAAAATTCATTTTTTATCTGATTTCCATTGCAAAACATTTTGTAATGCAGGGCAAATACTATGATTCCCCGTTTTAGCAATAGGGCCAGAGAAAACAAGTTAGTCATAGTGTCATAAAAATTAGGTTACTGCAGTGCAGTACTCTACAGTGATACACCTATAAGGACAGAAAGCGGTCAGGATCCCAGGTTCTGATGTTTGCTGTACGTGTTTTTATATAATTCATATACATAGCTATTTTACATTTTACTGACAGCAGTTAAGTCAAATTTGAAATATAAATTAATAAAACTGATAATCCTGATTTGGGCATGTAGTTTAAAACCACTTTTCTTCTTGAATTTTTTTTTAAAAAAGATTTATTTATTTATGCATACAGAACTGGGGTACAGGCCACAGGGGCAGGGGCAGTCAGAAGATTCACCAGAGACAGAGTGGGGAGCAGGCAGAACAGGCCAATTGACGAAGTACACTGTTGAGGAGAGCAGTGGGCGGGTCAGGAGAGGTCTGCCACGCCATGTAGTCACCTCCGGGGCAGGTGGGGATTGAACTCATGCGGAAGTGGCTTTAACTTCTTAGTGCTGTGCTTTAACCCGCTGGGCCACCAGGGAGGGCCCTCTTCTTGAATTTTAAAACATGAAATTTTTAGTTTCTTAATTTATATCTATTTCATACTAGACTAGTATTATTTACTGCTAGTTCCTTGGATTCACAAAAGATGAAATGGGAGAGTAGAACTGAGAGGAGACTGTCTTTAATGCAATCCCTATAGCAATGTTCTGCTTGGCTATCTCCATGACAGAAATGCTATATCTTTAAAATCTAATCAACATCACTAGTCACATATACTTTTGAACATTTGCAATCTGGCTGGTGACTAAAGAAATAAACTTTTTAAACTTACCCTTTCTATAGCTTCTTTTTCCTGAGGTGTTACTTGAATGTAGTTCATAGGACCACTTCCAGCTTCTGCAATTCCCCCACTGCTACCTCCACCGCCTCCTCCTTGGCTACCAGCTTCTTGAACTGGTTCATTTAACATCTGAATAAAATGCTCCTGGTGTTGGCTAATTTGCTGTGGTGATTTGAAAAACAGAGCAAAATAATACATTGGTATAAAGAAACTTCAGGAAAATAAAGCTTCTAAATACAAGTAGGAGGAAATCTTCATTTTCAAACTGCAACACGTTAGAATAATTCTGGATTATTTAGATTTTTTTTAAGGATGTGACTTCTTGTACAGTTAAAAAAACTAAATAAACCCATAGCTATGCTTTTTCATGGCAGTGCTCCATAAGTAGTAAACTTGGTGAAAAGATTTTTTAAAATGCTAAGCTGTTTCTTTGCTGAAGAATGTTTTTTCTTCAATAAAGTGATTCCTAAATTTATTATATGAGCAACTCCAGCCCCAGCTCATTTTTTAGCACATCTGTCTCCAGCACAGTCTACTGAGTGAAGCTCAGGAGAATGGTTTATAAATTTAGTGGAGAGAAGAGGGTGCTAATGGACCTTTCCAAAACATGATATACTGTAAGTCCATTTCTGAAATTAACACTGGTTAGTCACCTGCAACAACTGAGGATTTTCTCGACCTATCTGTTGTAATAATGCTGGAAGCAGGGAAGGATTTTGTTGAATAATTTGTCTCATCTGTTGAAACTGAGGCTGGTTCCGTAAAAATTCAAGGGGGTGTCCTGAAACAAAGATAAATATTTTAGGCACAAGCAGCAATTACATATACAAAAAACTGGTTTAATCACAATTTAGACAGTATACATTTGCAAGAAAATCAAATTATGATTTCAGTTCTCAGATTATATGTAACAGTGACAGTATCTCTAAAATGTGCCAACTTGTAAGTCTTACACTGCAGAAGTTATTCCTATAAAGCAAAGGTGAAGTGTGTGGAGCACTAAAAGAAACTTTTCTTACTATTACCCTGGGCACTCAACATTATCAAATAATTCTGAAACTAGTATCTTGTGTGCATGCTATCAAAAATAACTAAAATTTGTTCTTGTTGCTCATATTTTTTAAGTGAAATATACTAAGATTAACAACAAAAACCTTATAACACAGCCAAAACCCTCAAAGCGAACAATGAGCTTAAATTCTTAGGAAATTCTAAACCAAAAAAGTGAAAGATACTTAATACTAAAGAGTTCATGTTTACAAATTATAACTTTATTAATACATGAATTGTTATAGTTGTAAATTTATAGATCACCATAAATTGTGATCTATAAAAATGAGATATATGAGCAGCAAGACAATCTAGTATCAGCATATTTGACTTCAGTTCAAGATAACTTCATATTTGTAATGCCAAGTAAGATATAAAGGAAAAAATTGTTTACGAAAGAATTATGTTTTTGAGATTACTATTACGTAATGAGAATATTTTTCAGGTATTATTTCCTAAATTACACAAACATGTCATTAAAATGAGTCTTTTTATGTAACACTAGCTTTAAACATGAAGCGCATGAGATTCAGTTATCCAAAAAATGCCGCTGTATGAGACAGCACCCAAAGTTCAAACAAAAACTATGTCTCCTGTTTCGATTTCTATGCTGAATCTCCAGAAATGAAAAGTCTATCCTCTGGGAGTGTACACACAAAACGCTTAGGGGTTTTTGTAAGCAGAGTTGACTACCATAATGAGAGTTAGGAAACATGGCTCCTTCAAAGTCAACAGTTTAAATGACTTTATCAAAATACAGAAGAACGAAGGCAAACACTATGTAAATCCTGCACCTACTCTGGGTGCTAGGCTTTGCTTTGTAAACAAATCCTTGACAATGGAATTGAGTGCTAGCCAGTAAAAAGACCTCAAACTTTGCTTTCACCTCTACATGCAAGATTTAAAAATCTTTCACATTTTATAATCTTAATTGTTTAGTAACCAGTGAGATCCTACTGGTTTTGAAATTATACATGCACCCATGATTTTTATAGGAAGAAAAAGAAATGAGTTAAGCAATACATTCTAAACATTTAAGCACATTAACACTAAACACAAACTGGGAAGCCCTTTCTATGAACAGAGAACTTTTTATCCAAATGTGCTGGGAGTGACTGTCCCCTCAAAAATATATTGGATTATTTTACACTAAAAATTCAGGATCATTTCCTCCCCATTCAAAAAATTCTACTTTACCTCCAGAACTTGTTGTTGTAGTCGTTGCTGTTGTAGTTGCTGCAGCTGCAGCCACTGAAGACTGAGGAGCCACAGTACTAGCAGCTGGAGGGGGGTCAACCACAGCCTGACTTTCTCTATCTCGAGGGATTCCCTATAACACAATTTCCCATCATTTAAAGTCAAATATTATACAAAGTAAAAGACTTATTAACCTAGCAGCACTGTCCAATAGAACTTCTCATAATGGAAAGCTCTGCATCTCTGCCTTCCAATATAATACCCACTAGTTGCATGTAGATACGGAGAGAATTTAAAATGTGGCTGTTTCCAATGATTCAAAATTTTAAATTACTAGAATTATTAAATGTAAACTGCTATTTGTCTATATTCTAATTTTTGAACTTCCAAGAAACGTCCACTGTATACTGTTTAACATTAGAAAGACTGTTTAACATTAGAAAGGTCACACTGACCCGATTCTTAAGATCATTCACAAGAAAAAGATTTTGATACATTCAACCTGTTGATAACTGTTAGGGGAAAGGTCTAATGGATTCAGAACAAGTGAAAACAAAGGTCAAGGAGGATCCTTTTCTATAAGACCCATGGTTCTGAGAGAGCATAACATACAAAAAAATTAAAACCGTTTAGATTGGCCCTCCCTGGTGGTGCAAGGGCTTAAAGGGAACACTATGAAGCTATCATGGCCACTGCAGCACGAGTTCGATCCCCAGCCAGGAAGGTGGCCCACATGGCACAGCAGACCTCTGCTGTCTCAACTGCTGCTCCCCTCAGCAGAGTATTTCAGTCATTCAGCCTATTCTGCTCTCCCTGTCTCTGGTGTATCCTTTCAACCCCCTCACCTCTGGCCGGTACCCAAGTCCGTATACACATAAATAAATAAATCTTTTTTTAAAAATACATGTTTAGGTGTAAGTATTAAGTTTAACAAAATGGCACTACAACCTGAGAATACTTTTTTCATACAAATTATTTTTTACAAGATGTATTTTAAAATGAATTCTTTAGTTAAAAGATTATTATTTAAAAAGAATGGGGAGCAGAACAGGTGGATCTACTAAAATACACTGCAGAGAGGAGCGGGTGGGACAGGAGAAGTCTGCTTCGCCATGTGGGTCACCTCACTGGCTGGGGATAGAACTCTTAACACAATGGCTGTCAAAGCTCCGTAGTGCTGAGACTTAACCCCTTATACCACCAGGAAGGCCCTATTTTGACATAAATTACCTCACAAGACTTCTCATATACCACTTACTGAAAGTCTTTTTAAAATCCTTACACATTTTACAAGCAGGAGAATGAAAAAGGAAATACTGCATTTGAATAAGAGATAGTAAATGTTTCCATCTCCCAATAAGCCAAGAGATAAAAATCATTAACACACAAAGATCAAAGGTAACGGATGGGTGCCTGCATTAGATGTCATTCCATCTTTTCTGTCTATGACACATAGTAAATAAAAATGCTTGTTCATGAAATTATTTCTCAACTATTCATTTGCATGTGATGCTAAATTGCGATAGTAACTTTGAAAAAAGGTATTCATTCTTTTATACCTCAAAGCTCCAAATCCATTAGCTCAAAGTAGTTGATGCTATTAAACTTATACATAATTCGAAGTCAGGTATAAATACTACCCACACTATTGATTCAATATGAGTCCTCAATTCAAACAAACTGATAAATAAACGAACTGCCAATATTTAAAGATCCCCTAAAAGAGGACAACAGAAAAGAAAATTCAAAAGCTGAAATGATATGTTAATGAAAAGATTCTGCAAATTTCACAAGCAAATAAACAATGGAGACAGTATTTATTCACTCATGACTATTACTCTTCTGTAACTACTATCTAAAAAGAAATTTCTAAGAGAAATGCAACCTGGAAACAGAGGAACAGGCTCAATTGTAGAATGTATTGCTCCTAAAAGTTAGGATTCTGGATTTTGGGGAAGCCATTTAGAGTCATGCAGACTTTAGAAAAACTCCAAAACACCAAAGATAATTATAGAAACATTGTTAAGATTAAAAAAAAACTTCTATGCTATTAGTTTGGCCCATGCCAAGGCTTTCCAACCTATAAATTAACAGACATTCACTGTCATAAAATAACACGGTATTAGCCCATATCCTTAACAACCTACTTCTCAAAAACCTTTATACTACTAAAAACCACCTTATTCAAAATAAAATAGGACTTCTACTGACTATAAACAAACTAACAATTTAAATGCCAGTGTATACAAACAAGTAACATCATACATTAAATTAAATGCATAGTGGAAAGTCAGCTTTAACAGTGAGTTAAAGCTCTAGGTTTTAAAACTTTCATGTGAAGAAGTGAAATGAGTTGTCTGGATAAATCAGATACCTCAATTTTTAAGTGAAATCTTCTAATTTTAAAGAGCAAGCAAAAATTCACAAAATCACATAAATATAATTTGACTTTCTAACCTTAAACTTTTACTCCAAGACAGTATATCCAGGATTATTCTGAGGGTCAAAAATAGCTACATAAATGTTGGATTAGAATAGGCGAAAAAAATCTGCCCTCTTTGGCCCCCTAAATACAGCTGTCATCAGCGAGGATCACAAAACTAGGCTAAAGGCACTATTCTAAGTAGACAGCAAATCTTATAATTCATCTAGTCATGTTGTTTTTTGGAAAGTAGTCATCAAAATCCTTCAGAAGATTCTCATTTTATCAACACAAAATGTTAACATAGTAAAAAAAAGCATTGTGAAAATTACTCTACCATGTATCATTCTCCTGTGAACTGTTAACTACTCCTTTAAAACTTTTCAGATTTGGTTTTAAACAACTTGAATAAATAAAGTAAAATATATACTTCTCACCATTAAAAGATACTCCACTGCTCTGTCAGGGTTGTTGTAACTGGCTCTCAGGGCTGCAATTACTTGCTCTCGTTCATAACCCATTGACATGATCTCAGTTACCATATTTTCATAAGACTGACCCGTCACTGAAAAGAGGTGTGTGAGGGTGGAAGGAGGGGAAAGAAAGACAACATTAATCAGTAAACATTCACCACATATTTCATAAATTTGTATGTGTGTATATATGTAAACAGTGTCTTACTGCTATGAATACAAAGATGATCTACAATATAAACTACAAATAATGTGGCTGGTAGAACAATCCCACCCTCTAAAATCCTTGGAATCTATGAATAAGGTTGGTGTACAAAGTGAAAAAATAATTAGAAGTTGCTAATCACCTGACTTTAAAATAGGGAAGTTAAATGGATAATCTGGGTGTACTCAATAACAAAAGGTCCTCAGGAGTAGGAGGGAAGCAGATGAGTCAGAGAAACAGATTTAAGAAGACAAGACAAAGGCAGGGTCAGAAATGCTATCCTGCTACCTCTGATGTTAAATCTAAGGAATACGGGCAGACTCTAGAAGTTGGGAAGGACAAGGAAATACTTTCTCCTAGAATTATCAGTCCTAACTTTTGCCGGGTAAGCGAGGCTGTCAGCCTTCTAAGCGTCACGATGATTAAAGTAATAAATTGGTGTTTTATACTGCTAAGTTTGTAGCAACTATTATAGCACCAACAGAAAACTAGTATGCTTAGTAAGCACAACAGAAATATCAGGTCCAAATACAGCACTGATATGGAACAGTATTAGCACATATAGAAGAAGAGATAGATGAACTATCTTTGAAAACACGTGAGGGACATTTCAAGCAGTCCACTCTACCGTAAGTTCAGTTTTCCTTTGATACCTTTTATTATCAAAGCAGTTGGGGGGAAGGTTAGCAGCTGGAAAACTGGAACCTCACACTCCAAACCAAGCAGTGTATAACAGCCTAAGCGCTATTATATAAGTGAGCCACCTCTATGCTCATTTCCCAGTTTCTCTCCAACCCTCTTGCAACCTGCTTTTCATAAGAATGTTAAATAACATGTACTACTCTGATGAAAAGAAAACAGCATTCTTCCCTCCCACTGGGCCCCTCACCTCACTCATGCCATCTTTTTTTCCATTCAGGGTATCATTCCTTTCTTACATCCTCAAAGAATTGGACCTCCAACCTTACTTAATGATTCTGATCATGTTATATCCTATCAATGCCAGACATAAACACACACCTCCCTTAGCCCACCCCAATTCCTCTCTCAGGAACTGGTTCATTTGACTGCCCTCTTCTTTTCACAAATACAGCTGCTTGCACGTGCTCTTGTCCACCAAATATTCTTATACCAATTATTAGTGGCAATGGAGCTCCAAAAAATTCCTCAGATGTATTCCACCATAATCTGCCTTCTCTATTTCAAAAAACAACATGTCTATCCATCCAATTGACTGAACTTGAAGGCTCAGTGATTTCCACTGCCTTTCCTCTCCTTCCACTGCCACATCTGTTAGGATCTGTCTTAATTATATCTATAACCTATCTGGTTCCCTTTTTCTCCACTACCTTCTCTAGAGACCACTCTACAACCACCTCTGGTCTAGATAATGCTTTGCTTCCTCTCTTGTCTCCAAGTCTATAATCTAGTCTTCAGTCCGCCACAAGGTTTTTCGAAAAGGAAACCTTGTTCAATTTTAAGTTTCCAGCCCAATAACACCCACCCCACACCACACTTAGACCGCCCTATTCTCTAGTTCTCCCCAGAACTTTTATACACAGCCTAATCATTATGCTGTCTCTCCTAAAATCATGCTATTTAAGTTATAAAAAAAAAAAACCTCAAAATGAAATGCCCATACATAGTTTGACATTGTTTTAATAATCAAAGTACAAGGACAAATGACTCAGAAAGAAATATTGTGACTAGGGGGACAAATGAAGTAGTTAATGAGTGCAACCTTACATGTTGTTAAGAATGAGTTTTGGAATTATTATGTAGGTCACAAGAACTTATGATGGAAACTAGCAAGGATCTCATTACATGTGATTTTTTTCAAAGCCCACTAGGGCAATAAAAAGAAGGGGACAGTGCAAGATTATCAGTGAGGTAAAGACATGAAATAAGTCAACTAAGAGCCACTGAAACAATATTCCAGAAACACTAGAAAGAAGGATCAAGAGGATTCATGGCTTCCTTCAGTGGGCCAAGAGAAGTAGAGGGTCAAGATGATACCAACGTTTTAGAAGAGGATAAGTGGTGATGCAAAGGAGGGAGGGGACAAATGAGAAGGATCAAATGGGGAAATAAAAGACAAGTCAAAAAGAGCTCTAAGGAGTTTGTGGAAGTTGCAGGTTTTCCAGATTACAGCTGAAAAAACAAGTGTGGAACTCACAAGGGAGAGGTATAGCGGCGTTATTTTGGGAATTCTTGCCTGAAAGTCCCTGAAATTTGAACTGAAATTTGAGTTATGGCCTAGACTAGAACCAGAAACCTTCCCCACCCTCCTGCCGCCACATTTCTAGGTAAAAATAAAAAGAAACACTAAAAAGCCAGAAAAGGAAGTCAAAAGTATAGCTCAAAAAAAGTTGTATCAAAGAAGTAAAGTTTCAAGTAGACAATTAACAAAAAGACTGGGTAAATTACGGACTGACGAGCCAAGGAATTCTGAGGCCACAAAGTTTCATATCACTGCTCCAGGAGTGGGGAGGCATCACCACCAGAGATGCAGGTGTAGCAGCAGCTGGCAGGGCTCTAGGCTCCTGTTTCACAGTGTCATGCAAACCAGTGAAGCAAGTCCTGATAGCCAGAGGCTTCAATAGCCTCAGGGGCAAGTACAGCCAGATCCAGCTCTAAGCCTCACTGGTCTTAAAGTAATCCTCAAGCCCTTCCTAAGTAAGCCTTTCCCTTTTGGAAACAGAGCAATGTTTTCCTGACAGGTCCCTCACTCATACTCATTTGGTAGCAAAGCAGTCCCAGAAAATGTAGTTGATTATTCAACACTATTTTGCCACTGGATGTCACAGACATCCAGTAACCATTTTCCATGGCAATGAGGATCTCACGTTCTGTTAGGTAAGAGGACTAACCTCAGAACTTACAAAGTACTGCTGGAACGTACCTGCTACAGCAGCTAAAGAGAAACCCAGACCTGGCATTCCACTGAACCTGCTATTATCCTAGTCTCCTTTCATTTCAGGAACTGAAATGCCCATTCCTCCCAAGGGCAGGAATAGAGCTGCCAGTCAACAGGTAATAGTTAAAAGGCACAGCAGGAATAGTACCAGATGTTGCAATGGGAAAATGGGAGGGAAAAACAGCAAAACATTTCAACAGATTAGATGTGATGGGGTGAGGGTGCCTAGGGGTGGGAGGAAGGCTTTACTCAACAGGAAAAACTAAAGGCTGGGATCAAAAAAGCATTTTTTTGCTCAAGTACAATACAAGCACACTGAAGATGGGACCTATAGGTCTACAAGTTGGAATGACGGCTAAATGTAAAGAAAAGATGAAATATGAGGTAGATTCAGTGACATTTTATACCTAGTTCTGTGGCCCTCCCTGGTGACACAACGGGTCAGAACGCAGCACTGTAATCACATTTTATACCTAGTTCAAACATACTTTGCAATAAACTTGTACAGAGATTAAACTTCGTTAAGACTTCATTTAAAATTCATATTTAGAAAATGAAAAACTGTTTGCTTTAAGGAAAGGTGAAGCTTAACTCTGTAGAGTTTAAAAGAACGTGTCAAATGCAAATTTACAAGGCATTTAATAACACTAATTGAATAATCACCTAAATCAATTATTTAGCAGCTGAATTAAAACAATCATGAAAATCAATACATTGTCATCATCTAGGAAAATGAAATCTAAACCTCTTTCCCAGAAAACATGGCTATTTACAATGTGGATACTTACCAAGTGCACTTGTTGCATCTTCAAATAGGTTCGACCGAGATGAATCTCCTGATGTACTGTAAAAGGTTTTCAGAAAAGTTTAGTATTACATTAAACCACCCATGCCTGTAAGGCTAAAAAATCAATTAAAAATGGTAATCATTTTTGAAACAAGGGAGTAAATAGGAAAAAAGGTATTAAAGTTTAGTAAATGTCTAATCTATAAAAAGATTCTTTGATTTTAATGAAATATATAAATTCTGGCTACTACTGAATTTATTTAATGGTCTTATAAATTAAACCCCTAAGTTTTATCCATAGCATTGATACTTAGGGAGAATTTTCAATCTCTCTTTTAAAAAATGGATATTTTTTACATCATTCTTCATTTCTACATTTTTTTCATCTTGGTTGTAATCCCCATAGACTTCCTATCACCAATTCACCCATGTTCCATGTCCCAGTTTTGATCCTATTTTCCCCTCTTTGCCTCCTTAGAATGCCTGGTTTATAGTTTGTTGACTTTAGTTTTCACTTTTTTACAATTACTTTTTTCTTTTCCCTGATCCCTTATACTCCTCCTATGAGTGGAAACCATCTGGTATTTTCCTTTTTCTTTCTGGCTTATTTCACTAAGTTCCATCCATTTGCCACAAATGCACAAATGGCATGTTTTTTGGTTTTTTTTTGATTGCTGAGTAATAGTCCATAGCGTATATGTATCAAATCTTTTTGATGCAGTCACCTATTATTGGGCATTTGGGTTGATTCCATATCTTCCCTGTTGTAAATAGTACAACAATAAACATAGGGGTGCAGGTGTCCTTTTGAATTAATGTTTCTGTGTCCTGTGGGTAAATATCTAGGAGTGGAATTGCTGGGTCACATGGAAGCTCCACTTTTTGCAATTTGAGAAACTTCCAAACAGCTTTTCACTGTAGTTGGACTAGTTTGCATTCTCAATAGCAGTGTAGAACATACCACACACCCCCACCAACATTTGTTGCTAGTTTTTTTTTTTTTAGAATTTTTAATCTTAACACTCATTCTATTCTGTGACTCTACAATTTTTTAAATGCCCAGAAATATAAGCAACATACAATACACAGGACATGTAGAAACCATGAGGTTTCAAAGACATGTAATAATCTACATTGTAGAATTTCAAGTAGGTCTTGTAATTAACATAGAAACTGAACAGAAGCATTCTAGTTAAGTGATATAGCATCAGCAAAAACTGCAGAGGCAGAAAACAATTGTAACCAAAATTAAATGAAAGAACTACAATTCTGTAGAAAAATTAAAGAGTCTGAAAAGTAAAACAAAAAGATTATGAAATACCATGAGGAACAAAGAAAAAGTTTACAAAATGTTTAGGTACCAGTTCTCAGTTCAGAGTAAAACACATCAACACAATTTTTTACATCTGTTCTAATTTTAAAAAAACTAAACAGTAGACTTCTGTCCCAAGAAAAACCCTCTAGTATAGCAAGGGCAAGATAACTGAAAGCTCCGAATTCACGTATTATTAATTTTCTCATCAATACAATGAAGTAAAAAAATAGCTTATACATGTGTTGTGGACAGGGTTACTGCTAATAAAGTGCTTAGGAAGAGCCTGGCTTCATAATACCCAATATGCTTGTTATAATCATCTTTTCATATAATATTTTCAGTTTCTTCATTAACTAGAAAGAAAGTAATGCACAAGACAATAAACAAAAAATAGGAGGACTAATTTTCTTGCCTAAGACCCCCTACCCAGACAACCACTATCAGTTTTTCTAACTTTTATCTTACTTTTTGAGTTTTTGTTCCAAGTAGACACTAATACATCTACCCGTTTTCTAACCAATGTAGAGCATTCCACTTAATTTACCAAATCAAACTGAAGGAATTCTTAGTTTCAATTTTATAGTCAAATTTATCAACCTTTTCTATTTTAGCTAGCCAGCCTAGGTTGAAGTTCCCCAGAATTTTAATTTTTCCTGTTTTCTCCTCTATTTTAGGTTTCACCTTTACATTAAAATTTGTATCTCTCTAGAACACAATTTTATGAGCGTAAAGTATTAGCTATCCGTGCTTTTCCCCTCCAGATGCTAAAGATTTTATCCCCATAGAATTTTTCCCACAGTGATATGAAATGACATCTTTATCTTACATATGAAGTTACTGTATGTTTTTAGGTCTGTGACATTTTAATGTATTATAGGACTAGCCCTCACCACTACTGTTCATCACTACTAGTACACACAGTTGAAAATTTCTCTTTAAGCATTACTGATTAGACTGAGGTATACTATTTAACTGCCACTTGATCTTGACTGTGCTTCACTATTCCCTCACCATGCACAGAGGTTTGAAACCACTTATCTACTGGGATGTAACTACTTTCTTATAGTTTTTCTGCATTAATAGCTTACCCACAGAAAACACACAATGCTATTTTATAGCTTTTGTTTGGTTTATGATTACAGCTTAAATTGTTTTGCAATCTGATCCCCCCCCACTTATAACAGAGCTTTGAAACCACATTCACCAAATATGTATATATACCACATACTTTAACTGACCTGTATTACTAGATATGTTAGTAGACTTAAGAATTCACCAAAAAGCTTGCTGAAATATAGTTTTCTGGGATCCACCGTAAGAAATAATGGGGTGGAATCTAACACTTCATTTCAAATACCCAATGATACAGACGCTGCCTACTGATGATCCCATTTTGAGTAGTACTATTCTCTAAAATGAATGACAGGTCAGGTCATGCCCTCACTGATGGATATTAATTCCAATTTGCCCTCAGATACAAGCAATACAGTTTTTTTTTTCCCCATCTGCACAACAGCACTTGCCATGTAACAAGTGGTTTTTCTAAAACAAAACTGATCTAAGGAAACAAACTAGGTGACTCAGATCTCTTCCTAACACAGTTGACTGGGACAGTCACAGGAATCATGCTTACAGGCAGAACAACACAGGGAAGGATCATGACCACATTTTTTTCTGATTAGCGTTACACACGTCATAATCTTTCTTATAAGTCAGTGAGTAGTTTCAGTTGGTGTAATTTTCCACTGTGTCTAGTTCTGATTCCAAGAATCCTAACTATTGCCACTAAGATTTGAGTTAAACTGAAATCATGAACTACCAAGAGCCAGTACACACTGTACAGAATGTAACGCATGCGCTCTCAGATAAAGGAGGGTTCTTCCAGTCAAGTGAACTGAAAGCATCTATTTTGTCTATTATATCACTTGAGAGAAAAAATTTATCGGACACTATGGTCCCAACTGCCAACTTCACACATGAAATTATTTCTTGGGGCCTCCCTGGTGGCACAGGAGTTAAAGTCTCAGTACTATCATGCTATCACCAGCCACTGTAGCATGAGTTTCGCCAGGGAGGTGACCCACATGGTGCAGCAGACTCTCCTACCTCTCTTGCTTCTCCCCATTCTGGTGAATCTTCTCACCGCTGTGCCCCTTGCCACTCCCCCCACAAAATCGCTGGCCTATACGCTATTTCTTCTATGCATAAATTTAAAAGAAAAAAATCTTTAAATAAATAAAAGGGGCCTCCCTGGTAGCCCAGGTGTTAAGAAAGGCGCAGTGCTGTCACCGCTATGACTGGAGTTCCACGCCGGCCAGGGAGGTGACCCAATGGCACAGCAGATCTTTCCTATCTCTCCCACTGCTCCCCTCAGCAGTGTATTTCAGCAAATCTGTCTATTCTGTTCCCTACCCCATCTCTGGTGAAACCTCTCACCTACCATACCTCTTGCCTACACCCCAGTTCTTGTATGCATAAGTTTTTTTTTTTTTTTTTTTTTTTTTTATTTATTCGTATAGAACTGGGGTACAGGCCAGAGATGCGGAGGGTGAGAGGATTCACCAGAGACAGAGTGGGGAGCAGAACAGGCAGATCGACGAAGTACACTGCTGAGGGGAGCAGCGGGCGGGTCAGGAGAGGTCTGCCTCGCCATGTGGTCACCTCCGGGGCAGGCGGGAATTGAACTCATGCGGAAGTGGCTTTAGTTTCTCAGTGCAGTGCTTTAACCCGCTGCGCCACCAGGGAGGGCCTGCATAAGTTTTTTTAAAAATAAAATAAATTATTTCTTGCTCCCAAAATATCCTAACACTTTTCTTGGTTTGCTTTAAAGAAATAAGAGGTAAAAAGCTTGTTTCTACCTAAGTTTACAAAATAAAGACAACACAGTGAAAAATGCAGACAATCCGCATGTTCAACAAAGGGGTTGGTAGGTAAAATGCTGGCAACAACTGACAGTTACTCAACATGTATTGTGTGCATGTGTTATTTCACTTCTTTTATGGTCATTATTTATTTCTAGAACAACTCTATGAGCTAGGACCTACTGTCACCCACATTTTACAGATAAGGAAAAACCCTAAGAAGCTCATTATTTTTCTAAAGTTTTAAAGAGCCAAAAATGTCAATAAAAAAAAAATGACACATAGCTAGAAATATTTAAAATATTTACCAACATGGAAATGTTTATGATATAGAATATAGATTAAATATAAATGATACTAGAAGGCAAGATCAGCAATTGACAATATGTCTAGATACTTCATAATTCTTTTTGGTCATTTGTTTTTGCTCACTTTTCTAGCAAAATGAATGACTCTGACCTGATACCTGATGTCCCTTCCTCCTAAAAGAAAAAGCTAATCAATGCATGATATGGAAATCTATATTACAAAAATTTAAGCAGACACATACATACTGAAGTCAGCTTGATCCAAACAATAATCAAAATAAATACCTGCCTATGTTCTCATTATAGGCATATTCTGAGATACAACTTCCTTAAATTCAGTTCCTACCTGTCAGTTGATGTTGGACTGGTAGCCACTACTGGTGCTTCTGCTGGCTTTTCTGCAGGTTTCTCTTGTTTAGTTGTACTAGCAGGTGCAGGTTCAGAAGATGCTGCTGTCGATGCTGGAGTGATAGATGCAGGTGGTGTGGGAGTAGGAGCCAAGGCAGGGGTGGAGGTTGGTGCCTGAGCCACAGTTGGTGCTGTAGAGGAACTAACTGTGGTAGTGGTGGCAGCATTTGACTGCTGAGTTGTAGCTGGTGCTGGTGTCGTCACTGCTTTTGGCTAAATACATCAAATAGCAAGAGTAAGTTATGATAAAATATATCATTGCCCAATCTGAAATTAGAAAGCACTGTTACAGGATACTACAAACACAACACACACATGGACTTACAGCTTGAGAATAATTTGGTAGCATAACATAATATATACTCGATACTAGTAATCTCAATCACTCCAAACACTTTAAAAGCGATGAACACAAAGTATAATCTTTTTAAAAAAGATTTATTTACTTCTGCATACAGAACAGGGGTACAGGCCAGAGGTGGTAGGGATGAGAGGATTCATCAGAAACAAGTGGGGAGCAGAACAGGGAGATGTACTGAAATACACTGCTGAGGGGAGTACGGGCGGGTTAGGAGAGGTCTGCCACATCACGTGGGTCAGCTCCCTGGCTGGGGATCGAACTCATGATGCAGTGCCGTCACAGTGCTGTTGTTTTAACCCATTGTGCCACCAAGGAGGTCCCCACATACTATAATCTTAATTATAAAACCCAAATAGCTTTAGCCAAAAATTTCAGTCACTGTATTTGTATTAAAAAAATATAAAGAATTGAACATGAACATTTAAAAATACAGAGAATGTGTTTTCAAAAAAGCCCAAAAATATCAAATTCATTATTTAAGTTGCTTGATTCTCATGTCAAAGTATTACCAAAATAACTTTCTTGAACTGAAAATATAAGCAGAAGCATGACTACTGAACACACCAGGTAACCTGATGATTTTAAAGAGGGAAGGAAATCCCATCTGGCTTCAAACCAGTAAGTTCAAAGAGGTTAACCTAACATTTTGAGATGTAAATGTACTCAAACAGAAAAATAAAGGCTAGATAAAGCTATTAATATGCACATACTGAGCTAGCAGAAGAACAATAAAGGATCCTACAGAGCAAAAAAGCAATTATATATATGTAAAAAACATAGCATTTAATGAGGTTTACATAAAAAACATAGCATTTAATGAGGTTTACATTTCTGTAAGGCCTATCAATGCTATATATTTAGCTAATAACTTTACTCAGGACAAAGATAACTTGTGATGGAAGATGGGATTAAAATTCAGCATAATTTGTTTCATGAGCATTATTCTATTCCTATGTGAAATAAAAACAGCCTCAGCTCCAAGTGGTTATTCTTCAAATGCATGGGCCTATTCTGAGCTATACTCTGCTTAATTTTTAGTCATGTTCTAAATTGTTAAAGTTACTATAATACTAGAGGAAATAAGACTGAAAGCAAGTAGTACCCAAACACATGGCTATCACCTTTTCCATAATGCATTATGTGTGAGAAAACTAAACAAGTCACTGAAATGTTATTCTGGCACATGCTGCAACATGGATGAATCTTAAAAGATATCATGTTTAGGGAAATAAGACAGTCATGAAAGGACAAATACTTTTTCATTCCACTGATATGAGCGGAACTTAAAGTAGTCAAATTTATAGACTAAGCAGAATAGGAATGCCAGGAGTTGGGGGAAAGGAAGGAATGGTGATAGTTTAATGGGCACAGAGCTTGTTTGGGGGGGAAAAAAACGTTCTGGAGACTGATGGTGGTGGATGCCTAACAATGTGAATGTACTTAATACCACTGGATCTTCCTCTTAATGGATAAATTGGTAAATTTTGTGTTATGTATTTTATCACATTCAAACACAAAAACTAAATGAGACAAAGTTTCCTCACCTGATTCTCCTTCTCTGTATCTAAAGTTTAACATTTTTGATGAGTAAGTGCTTAAATGTAGCAAGAATTCACAATCAATAGTTTGTAAGGAACTATAAAAGTTTAAGCCCACATATGTAAGCTAGTGTAGTGAGCTGCCTTTTGTTTCACATTACAAGTGCATGCAGCAATTACAATTTATTTGTTCAACTCTTTTACTCTCTACACAATTATTTTGTGACATGAACCACCACTCCTATTTGACTTGAGGCTGCACTGCAGGCTTCTGTGTCTTTAAACAAGTGTATACATAATAAGCAAAGCCTCTGAAAGAACTCATAAACATTCTCTACTTTAGAGAAAACTTGGATCTTCATAAACTATCACAAATGTATTTCAATTCATTAAGCCACAAAAACTGTACTGTTAAAAACTTCCTCACATATGACCCTCTCTAGTGGCGCAGCAGGTTGAAGTGCAGCACTGCGAAGCTGGCAGCAGCCACTTCAGTATGAGTTTGATCCCCAGCTAGGGAGGTGACCCATATGGCACAGCAGACCTCTCCTGACTCTTCCACTGCTTCCTTCAGCAGTGTACTTTGTTGATCTGCCTGTTCTGCTCCCCACTCTGTCTCTGGTAAATTCTTTCACGGCCCCTGCACATCTGGCCTGTACCCCAGTTCTATATTCATAAATAAATCTATATAAAAAACTTCCTCATATACACAGCCTAACTTTCTGAACTCTATTCCACTCACTTGGAAATATCACTAAAAGAGTACACACAGATTTTCTGCCATGAGGAATCTGTCAGGTCTAATATATAACTTAGCAAATTCCTTAAAGGCACCCTTTTTAAAAAGTACAAAATAAGAAACACTGACTTTCATTTCTAAACATATTAAAAGATTTTAGTACTCCAGCAAAAGTTAACAATTTTTAATATGATATTGTGTCAGTTGTTTTAATTAACATGGTTAAAACTACAAATATATAAAATTATCAATTTATACTGATACCTTGGCTGACCCAAGGTAAATAGTTAAAACCTTTAACAAGAGTTAAGGACACATTGCTTTGGGTATACATACACTATATTCACTTGAAAGGCTGGACTTTGGATCACTGTTTAATTAAAAGATTCACATGCAGAAAAATAAACAGAATAAAGCTGAAACTTACTTTTGTCACCATAACAACAACAAAATTTTTCTCATCGATTTTATATTCTTTTAGAGCAGTATCATCATTGAGGATTTTACCTAAAACATTGAAAGACATTTTAAAAGTATAGCTGCCTTTGTCTCATACAAGTAAAGATAAAACAATTTTAATTCTATCAATAATTTCCTCAAAAAAAGAATCAACTGATTAGCTGAAATAACGATTAAATATTAGCAATAACACGAGTTGAAAGTAGTTAGGATTCAACTAAAAGACACCAATACAAATATACTTTATAGATGTCCAAAGCAAGTCTTTAAGAAGTATTACTCATTAAGACTTGCTGAGTAAAAAATTATCAACCAGGTCCTAAGAAAGGGGAAAGCATGAAGTAAAAATTTAATATTCCAACTGCCCAGGAGTGTCCCTAGGAAATAACCTATTATCTTTCTTGATGGAACAAGCAGACTTCCTCCATCCACAAATGCTAGATACCAAGCAAAAGAGAAATGTTCCATTGCTAATGCTATAAAAGTGAGACAGTCATGATAATAAGTACTTCAGAAAAAACCTGGCATACAGGAAATGCAAGATGATATAAAACTGAGTAAAGTACAGAGAGCGTAAGACTCTGGGCATACAGAAGGTCAAATGTTGGGCATACAGAAGGTCAAACCTGATTCCTTCAGGTTTCCTTTCCCTGCAATCTAGTTTTTCACTTAAAAATATGTGACTACAGCAAAAGCTGCAAGCATCAAGACCAAAAGGAATAGTCTCTATAAAGGAATGTGAGAACAGGCCAAGGCTAGCAACCAGAAATTCTAGTTCCACATCTATGGTCAATTCCCTGGCCTCTTTAGGCTTCTGATTTCACAGGGCTAGTGTTTCCTCTAAATCACTCAGCTAATACTATAAAATCAATAGCCAGGAAAAGACAAGAATCTCTGGCAATGTAAGATTAATATAAATATTAATCTTTTCTCCTGTTACTTACTTACAGTGCACTTTGGACATACAAGGTTTCTATATTCTCCCATTAATTTTTGTATTTTAAAAAACAGATTCACTGAATGATTATTTCACAGGAATAATTACATATACATTAATGAACATTGAGTACAAAGAGTTTCAATTCAAAAGATAAGTTCAAATTCATTAAAAATATGAAAGGTAGTTTTATATGTTACTTGTAAAAGTCAAAACTAACATCGCTGGATATAAATGTGAAAAGACTGAACATTAATATCACATTCAAATGATTGCTCACTCCCTGCTTCTATCTGTACAATCTGTTCCTGACAGAATCACTTAATATAGACTCCAATTCATAAGAATTCCCCAAACTAAAAGAATGTCACTGTAAGCAAGAAAATGGCATGGTAATTTAAAATTTAATCCATACCTGCATAAATTAACTTTTGACCTGCTACAGGAAAGGCATCTTTCCCCTTTTCAGATTCAATCTTCTCTTTCAGTGCTTTCACCTATAGGAAAAACAAAGATTTTTGTTGTTGTTGTTGTTAAAAGTCTAAACAAAAAATCCAGATCCCAAAAAAATAATGCAAGGTAAAATTTTTATATATTTTAGTTTATGCTTTCCAAAACTGAAAAATATGATCTTATATAAAAAAGACCCAGTAACCACATTATTAAACAAGATAGGTATAAACTTTGTTGTACCACCATGTTATACATCTAATCATTTAAAAAGTCACCAATTGATTTACAAATCTATTTGAAATAAAGGTTTGATATCAAAGTTTTAATGCTCATTATGAAGTTTACAGGCTTATTTTCTATAGAGTAAGAAGGAAAAGCTCTCTAAACTAAATGATCTAAGTAATAAAAGCTCTCTACCAAACTTCAGTGTAGCTAAATGTGGAAGTTAAAAGGCAAATGAACCACTTTAAAAGTGTGTAGTATCAGGCCCTCTCTGGTGGTGCAGCGGGTTAAAGCACATCACTGAGAATCTAAAGCCACTTCCGCATGAGTTAGATCCCACCTGCCCTGGAGGTGACCACATGGTGTGGCAGACCTCTCCTGACCCGCCCCACTGCTCCCCTCAGCAGTGTACTTCATCAATCTGCCTGTTCTGTTCCCCACTCTGTCTCTGGTGAAGCCTCTCCCCACCCCTGAGCCTCTGGCCTGTACCCCAGTTCTGTATGCACAAATAAATAAATCTTAAAAAAAAAAAAAGTGAGTAGTATCAGTATAATCACCTGCAGGGGCTGTAGAAGACTGCCTTAAAACATAATTTGCGAGAGTAGAACCTGAAATAAGATTTTATTATTTATTTATGCATACAAGAACTGGGGAGCAGCCCAGAGGTACAGGGGGTATTCAGCTGAGTTTTCCAGAAGGTACAACTCATATTGTGATATCACCAAAGTGACTGCAAAATAGCTGAGGACACACCTATATTTTATTAAGCCAAATATTAAAGAATTTACAATGTCAGTCTTCTCACTGCTTTTTGTTTAGAAAATAATTTTTCACATGAAAATATACTAATTATAACATCCAAAGAGTCTTATCTAAAAAATACATTAAAATTCTATTTTAATTTCTAATTCATTGATATAGTAAATATCAGCCACAGTCAAAGAGTTATTTTCAAGTCCTCAATTAAGTGTAAAGGGGTTCTTAATAACAAAGTTTGAAAACTTACATGCTAAATGACCTGGCCAAAGTTAACTGAGTGGTATAAATTGAGCAGTAAACTTTGGGCCGGTGTGGTTAAATGCTTTGTGATGATACATTTTCTTTCATGCTTTTTATTTTTTTTGTTTTGGGGGAGAAGGGATGAATTTTTTTTTTATAATATAGTAGTTTATTTTTACATGATTTTGTGGGGATGAAATATTTTTAAATGTGATTGCTTGTAAACAACACAAATGAATTACAGACTGTGAGTATCCAGTTGCTGGGTAGGTACACAGATGTTCAACAAGTAAATTAATGTACCATAGAAATATGTGAACATGGAAAGAAGAAACAAACATGAAACATAAAACAAGGAACAAGCAGAGATCTCATTTATAGACAGCTCAGGATGAGTCAAAGCTTAACAGACATTTAATTAGACATCATCTCTTCCAATTTAACTTGTATGTATATACAGATAGACACACACACACACTTATTTTTCTACTCAACATAAATTATATTTTTATTCCCAACATTCATAGTATATTTTAAAAGTCTGGGCTACAAATGTTGGGAACCAAAGATTTACTGACAAGGAAAGAATTGAGCCTTGCATCCCAGCTTGATATGGGACTAGCTGAAGGGGATACCAAACTGATAGTCAACTGGGCCTAGCATCCGGGAGGTACAGGTGGGAGGAACTGGGCCTAGCATTAGGGGACACAGCAATGAATGACCTTTGGAATGTGAACCTATAAAAGACTCTTTCCCCCTTATTGAGTTGACAGTAGCTGCGGACCCCACCCTAGGGGCTCCGTCTCAGCTGCTGTCTGGGAGCAATAAACTGCTTGCTCAGCCTTTCTGACTCCAGCCTTCCTTTCTTGTGGACGTCACAGAAATTGGGACAAAACAACAAGTATGTATGGACAGAGTGTGAATGAGAAAGTGAAAATTTGAAGGCAATGTGTAAAATGCTTCAACAGGGAGGCAGGGGGATTCAATCCAGCAACACCACTTTGAGCAACACATCACAGAAAATAATTTAAGCTAACCTTAGGAACTGGATTCACTCACACCCCTGTTCAAAATTCTGGCCCAGGTCCTTAAATTCAATATAATAATTTTTACTTTCAATCCACTGAAGCCAGCTAACTCAGAGGACACAGGCTGAATCTTAATCAAGAACTGTTCTATGTTTGGAAGCTCCAGTCTCCTATTTCTACCAGCTCTCCCAGCTCTCACCACACCTCAGTCTCGCATCTCATTGATGACTCATCCCTATAATCTCTTACTTTCACTTTGATCTTTACTGCCAGCTCTATTCAGAACTCCAATGCTACTGCTTCTATCATTCCCTTCCTACTATCACCATACTTGCTTGTCTTTCTGTTGCTTCTGTCAAGCAAAATTCCTTATTTGCAGGAACACAACTGAATTTACCCATCAATATTCAACATAACATTTACTTCAGCTTCTCTGGTGTCACACTGTCCTAGCTCAATTAGCTGACGAATCTCACCTTGAACTTATCAGTCAACCAACTGGATTTGGCTGTTTTTACATACAGCCCTCTAAAATGCCATGAGAGAAAAAAAAAGATACCCATGAATGCTCATTTTCCTGCTTAGTCCTTTCCTCCACTGTTAAATTTGCACTTTTAAGTCTCACACTCAACACCCCACACCTACTGAAAAACAAATACATCAGAAGAACTCACCCTAAACTTTCTACCCCTTACAAAAACCAAATTCTTTCTAACTGTTTTCTGGTTCTCCTAGCAGTTTTCTCCAAAAGTCTTTTATTATAGATTCATTGTTTTCTACCCTTACCCGGTTTTATTTTCAACGTTTCCCTCAGAACTAGTTTATTTACATTCACACTTTAACAGAACCAACTCTATAAGCTTTAAAAAATAAAAACCCCTTACAATCCTTGTCTTCTGCTACTCTCCTCCCTGTAGTCAAGCATTTTTCAAACAACTAACCAAACACTTCACTTTCTCAAGAATACAATACAGTACTGATGAACAGAAGGACTCTGTTCTCATTTTGCTGCTTAGTTTCTCAAGTAAAGCCTACTCCCACTATTCCATGAAGACTATTCTCACCATATCACTGAGCTTAGCAACATCATAATCAGATACTTCTTAGTTCTTTATCTGTTCTGTCTCTCCTTTGTACACTGCCTTCCTTTGGCTTCTACAGTGCCAAATTCTTCTGGTTTTCCTCCCTTCTCTTTTTCCTCTGTGAAATCCTATTCCTTGGCCAGCCCTTTAAGTGTTAGTCCATGTTATTCCAAGGCTAGTTACCTTTTCTTCTCCATAAGCTTTCAGAATAAACCACCTTATCTATTCCTAGTTTCAGTAACACTCCAGATGTCATCTGTATCCCTCCTGTTAATGCAAACCAAACTAACACTCTCCACCTGGTTCTTTCATTGGATAGGTGGTAGGCATTTTATCATAATGTGCTTGCTGAATGATGGCATCTAGACCAATTTGTCTAAGTCTAGCAAATTGAGCACATTCTAAGATAGCTTATAAAGGAAACAACCTTTCTAGATGCTGCAGAGCAAGAATAGGTATCAACTGTACACATGATTTCCCTTGGCCAATAATAGTGCTCATAATCACCTGTGTCTTGTCTGGTGCCAATGTCCAGTTCCAGTAAGGCATCTCAACCAAGTTAATCTAGACAAAACACTACCGTTCCAGTAAATAATTTGGGCTACCATATGCAAGGTCAATAAATCAAGTTTTCTTCTAGCTACACATTTACCTCATAAAATTATGCATTAAAAATGACTATTATCTAATATTAAACATAGGACAGATAGTCAACATGGCTTTTATTCTTGTCCCCCAAAAGTAAGACCTCCCTGGTGGCACAAGGGCCCAAGTCTCAGCACTATGAAGCTACCAGCAGCTTCTGCAGCACAAGTTTGATCCCTGGCCAGGGAGCTGACCCACACTGCACAGTAGCAGACCTCTCCTGTCTCGCCCACTGCTCCCCTCAGCAGTGTATTTCAGTGATGCCTGTTCTGCTCCCCACTTTGTCTCTAGTGGTCCTCTCACCCCGGCACCTCTAACCTATACCCCTTGTATACATGAATAAACACACAAAAAAAGCATGACAATACCTTAAAAGGTACCAACACAAAAACTGATGAGTTATCCTTTTTCATGCCATTCGCTTGTGAGGGGGCCAGTCTCTTTCTTTTCTCTTATTCCTCACATCAAGTCACTTAACCAGTGATACCAACTTACCATCTTTTTCCCAGTGTGAACACTGTATTTTTTTTCATGAGACTACTCTAGCTCAGACTAAGTAATTTCTGTTCAGTAAATTTAGATTCTATGTGTCAGATTTCAAGCAAAATGATGTTAATTATATTCTCACAACAGCAATATGGTGGTTTGCTATATCAGTTTTCTTACACAGCATTCTTAAGATTTCTAGGGCTATCACTTGTTGACTAAATTAGCAACAGGATATCCATATTTCTGTATAATCTAGTTTATCCGTGTATAATGCAGTTTCTTCAAAGTTAAAGCAGATTTTTCTTATTACATAAAATAAAACCTGCAAGCTTTGTGATGGGTAGCCTTGAAACGGAAGGGGGACAAAAAATTATTTTATAAATAGCCCATGCATCCATATGATGTAATACATGAATAACAACTATACATGCAAAGTATTCACTGAGTGATACATACAAAATGAATGAAAAAAATCATCTTTAAAAGAAAAAGCTGTGTAAACAAAGCATAGTATATTAGCGTTTATGTAACACATTTGGATATTTAAAAAAAATAAGCCTAAAACCTCTTTTACTTAAT